TCGACCGCGTAAATTATTACTAGCATGTAGTAGCGGATGCGTTTTTGAATAGAGACCAAATTTACGAAATATTGCAAGTTTGTAATTTTGTAAATAGGAAGGGCTATCGGACTACCAGTGTAGAAATTATATTATAGGCTTCCGAATTTTGTTATTCTGGAATACTTGGCATGCCACAGTAGCCCCTCTGCCAATTAAGCAGCCCAGTCACAGTACTACCGGACTATACTCGCGCGGATCCAGAATAAGCGGGAAAACATACTGTGTGTCAAAATTTCTCAAATTTGGAAGTATATAGGTCACCACGTGTAACTGACTGGACGACCAAGCCACGTTATAGGAAATGGAGACTACGATCCACACTGCACAAACTGGTCCAATGAAAAATTAGAGACTAGGAAAGAGAAGCTCGACAGAGGGCAGTGAACGTTGGAGAGACTCTGCAGGAAAAATGCCCGTTGAAGATGTGGGTTACCGTGCTGGCTAGGTTTACAACTTGGTATACAGTATATAAGAGGGCAAGGCCGCATCAGCCCTCTATACTCAGTAGGATGGGAAGACTGTCGGTGGGCCGCAAGGCAGGGTCATGTGGAAAGCCCCCTGAGGATGATCGGAGCGCAACCGATCGAAACGCGTCAGGGAATGTGCGCGCAAGCTGAGATTAGTATGCGCGGCTATGCATTGAAGAGCTTTTGAAGCGTGTACGAAAGGCAGTTGGCCCTGTTTTCACTATTCTGTGAAGCATGGTAACCGGATGAGAGGAGTTACTCACACTGGTGGCTATGTCGACAAGCGGCTTCAAGTACAACGAACTAGACAGTTGCATATGGAAGATTCAGAGGTAGGCAGTGGCGAGCAGATACGAATGGAGAGAGGACGAATAAGGTCGGCTATATGGGAACGTTACCGTACGACTCTCATGCACACGTGGACGGCATGGCGTCATCCGGCATTGCTGGAGCAGAAGGAGCAGGCGGAGCAGGTGGTTCAGTCATTTGCTTCAACTGCGGCCAGGCTGGCCATATCGCGAGAGACTGCCCGGTGGGCAGGGGACAAGGAGCTTTTGTTAAAAATACAAAGTATTGGCAATCAAGGGAGGAGAATGAAGATAGCATAAATCGTGTAGTCAAATGGGCAGACTACAAAATGCAGAAGGAAATGGAGGAAGAGGAGAGTAAGAAAGCTGATGAGGAGAAAATGAAGGTAGAAGCCGAGCGAAGAAGGCAGCAATTAGCCGATGTGATGCTGGCAGTCGCGTTCAACAGAAGGAAGGTTCAACCAGTAAGGCATTGGAGATTCTAAGGATGTTAAACAGCTACTATGGAGATAAGCTCTCACTGGGCCGCACGGATGATAGCTCTAACACCATTGAATTTGCTGGGGCGAAACTTACGGTCATACCAGGAAAGACCTGCCTCCTCATGATCAAGAATGAGCTGCTGAAGTGCCAGCTGGGAGGAGTGCAGCAGCAGCTCGTCCATCGTTGTTTCCAGGTTTTTAGTTCCTACTCAGACAAGCGAGCGAAAATTGGAGCTATAGTCGGTAGCCGCATTCAGCAAGTAGCAAGCAGCGAAAGCACGCTAATCTTACCTGTTCTAGCCATGTGGAATGAGCTCATTCGTCGGGGAGCTCTTCTTCAATACCCTAGCACGATTTGCTAAGGGCACCAGCGTTCACAAGCAGCCGTGGTTGAGGCTGCTGCTTGAGAACCTGGTACAGTGGGAAAACAATACGCGGGCCGAAATCTTATGGCAGGTGCGGTTTTGATTAGCGACCGGACTTAGGGAATAGTTCTTCCTGTCCTACTGCGAGGTATTTTTTTGTGGTAGTAACTCTTCTCTGTAGGCAGTTGCTCCCGTGGAAAATAGAAACAGAATTTTGGTCAAACGCGTAAATTATTACTAGCAAGTAGTAGCAGATGCGTTTTTGAATAGAGAGTCGATTAGAGACCGAATTTACGAAATATTGCAAGTTTGTAATTTTGTAAATAGGAAGGGCTATCGGACTACCGGCGTAGAAATTATATTTATAGGCTACCGAATTTTGTTCTTCTGGAATACTTGGCATTAGATTAGTTGGCATGCCACAGTAGCCCCTCTGCCAGTTAAGCAGCCCAGTCACGATACTACCGGACTGTACCCGCGCGGATCCAGAATAAGCAGGAAAACATACTGTGTGTCGGAATTTTTCAAGTGGAGACTACGATCCACACTGCACGAACTGGTCCAACGAGAAATTAGAGTCTAGGAAAGAGAGGCTCGACAGAGGGAAGTGAACGTTGGAGAGACTCTGCAGAAAAAATGCCCGTTGGGGATGTGGGTTACCGTGCTGGCTAGGTTTACAACTTCGTACACAGTATATACGAGGGCAAGTCCGCATCAGCCCTCTATACTCAGTAGGATGGGAGGACTGTCGGTGGGCCGCAAGGCAGGGTCATGTAGAAAGCCCCCTGAGGATGATCGGAGCGCAACCGATCGAAACGCATCGGGGAATGTGCGCATAAGCTGAGATTAGTATGCGCGGCTATGCATTGAAGAGCTTTCGAAGCATGTACGAAAGGCAGTTGGCCCCTTTCTTCTTCTTTTTTTATTCTTCTTCTTCTTCTTCTTCTTCTTCTTCTTCTTCTTCTTCTTCTTGTTCTTCCTCATTTGCCTCCTCTAGTTTGTCTTTCTCTTCCCCACGCGCCCCCCCCCTTCATCTTCGTTGTCCATATTGGGACATCCGCAGGCTCGTTCATTCTCTCCTCCTCCCAGTCCTTCCTCTCGACGTCGTGTTGATGCTAATCTGCGGGGTTCTTTGTCTTACCCACAGCCTGCTCTGCCAGGTCGACGGCGTTCGTCATTTACGGGCCGACCCCACCAGATCAGATCTGGCTTTCCAGTGGTGACCGATTCGGCTCTGCAGGCAGACGTACCAAATGCTTGTGGCTTGACAGCCACAAATGTCTGCCTACAGACTTATCAGCGTCAATGTTATACTGCATCCCATTTTGTTACCATTGCTTATCAGCTTGAACTGTAGAAAATCAGTTGTTGTATGACCATAATGGTCCACCTCCTGAGGGTAGTAACTATACTATCTCAGGAGGCTTTACTGTAGATGTCTTACAGTTAGCCTTCTTATGCATCATGCGACACCAGGCCATGACCTTAATGACCATCCTCATATTTCTGCCTGCATTTTGCACAGACCCGGGCATTATGTGGCACTGCAGCTGCCCAGTGGGAACTGTGGGATGGTGGGACGATGATTCAGCCTATTTTCAACATAAATGAATTTTTGCATGCATTGCCGAATCATACTTTACGCTGGATTATTGACCGGCTCTCGTGTGACATCTGTCGGGACTGGGACGCGGTGCGCCTTGGCTCTGGAATTCATCATCTATGCCCTTGCGGCCGCTGCCGTCTGTGCCGAAGGGTGTCCAACATTTCCTCATTGTACACATCCCTATCACGGTTTACCGGGCAGCTCTGTTTGACGATATTCATCGTCACAAAGATATCAGAGCGCAAAAGCGATAAAAACAAAACAGAAGGAAACAAGAAAGATATCAATTCATTTTTTATCTTCTTACTTACAACTCCCCCTGTTCAGAACCTCTGGCGTACAAGGCCGCCCACGTATATATATTGTCACACTGTGAATCGGAGCGCAAAGGCCGAAAAAGACAAAACAAGAAAAGGAAAAGAAGGAAGGAAAGCCCCACCTGTTCATCACCTCTTACGTGCAAGGCCAGCCACGTGGATGACAGGAGAACTGCCCGGTAAACCGTGGGCAGAGAGGGAGAAGAGGACAAAGCGAGGGTCTGTGACATAAAAAAGTATATAAGTGAATCCAAAGGAGATGTAGGCTTGCGATATGCCCCTTGATTTGTCCCGACGACGATGATCACGATGGTGATAGCGGTGGTGAACACGATGACTATCTCCGCGATGATCATCTAACGATTTCCCCCAATCCCGATGCTCATCCTTATGGTTGTCCCGATCCCCCATCACTCACTGCTGATGATTATCCTGACGATTATCCCGATGATGATCCCGATGTCTCGGTCCCGATAATCAGCATCCTGATGATTATCCCGATGACGATCCCGATCCTAACCTCGATTATCATCCTGATGATTATCCGACTCTCACGACTGATCCCTATACTTATCGGGATGATGTTCCCGCCAATTCTCCCGTAGATTTTCCCGCAGAGTTTCCGCCAATTCTCCCGGCGATTCTCCCGCCAATTCTCCCGCCGATTATCCCGCCCATTACACGGCCGATTATCCCGCCAACTATTCCAATGATAATGCTGATGTAACAGGTGCCGATGGAGGTTGAATTCGACTGCAATTGGGTTCAGATTCACTCGAGCAAGACCTACAGTAGTTTGAAAACATGCTATGAGCACGGTAGTTCAGCAGCTACAATTGAGATGTGGAGGGTAACGGTCAGTCTGCGGCTGCTGCTATCCCAACCCCTCCTACCTTCTTTTCCCCAACACAATGGACCCCCATCATGACTGTATCGGACCCAAAATGTAGCTTGTATACATTCACGGTAAGGGGACATTGTGCTCGGGGAAAGACGGTAGTGGGGCATGGCCCCGGGCGGGAGGGAGAGATGGAGGAGAGATAAGGGTGGAAGCCGGGGGGGGGGGGGGGGGAGGGACGCGGGAGAGTACAGGCTCGCAAAGCAGATCAGTAACGACAGATCTGCGAGAGAATTGTGACAGATCTGCACCACCGGTCATGATTATATTTTTGATCTTTGATTTTTTTCGCTATTTACTTGTCTTGCACTACTTCATCCATTATCCTCATGCATTATTTACATTTAGTCTTTTTCCGAGTAGCCTCTCTCTCTCTCTCTCTCTCTCTCTCTCTCTCTCTCTCTCTCTCTCTCTCTCTCTCTCTCTC